TTCAAAGGAGTCATATCATGAAGAGCTCCATAATATTAAGTATTATTTTTTTATCATTTAATCACCATGCAGTGATTTCCCTTGTGCTGTAACCATTATAATGTGGATTTGTGTTGTAGTCATGTTGATTTGTAATCATTTAAAGATCGAATGCCTTTTGATTGTAACTAATTGACTTAAAATGGTGCATCAAGTACACTTTAATTTTTTTATTAATATATTGTAGGAGGTGTCTTTAAGTTGCATTTCACTTGGGCCATTCAAAGTGGTCGGCCTAGCCAAACTCAATCAAGATCACCGACCAATATATGTTGGAACTTGGAAGACTAATAAAATATATAGAAAATTTCCATAACCTATTCCATAGGACATGGTATTTCCAAAGGGATATAAATCAGGTTCCATAAGCCCTCTAATTGTTGGTCACCATATTCTTATAAATTAAGAAATCATGCCACCATTATCAAGGTGCCACCTCATACGCTTCTCTTACAACATCAAATAACCAACTCCTCCATTGAAATAATCTTTTTTTGATGTTACTATTTAAAATAGGTACGAAACCTTTGTAATAGATAGTTTTAAAGATTGAAAAAACAAAGAAGAAATCTATCTTCATGGTTCCAAGCTTTGTGGCTTGGGATTGTATTTGATTTCTGTGTGACTTCAAACATATTTACCACTTTGGTATGCAATCCATAATGGAATTTTTTATGAAAGTTATTTTGAAGCATTATTCAGGGTTGTTAAGCAGGAATTTTTTCCAGCTCAACTATGAGTACCAACACCAGAAACCCTCCAAGCTATTCTAGTCAATTCATTGGCGGTACTAGGTGCACCACCATTAACTTTAGAAAGAAGGTAAAGGAAGAAGCCCCATAGTAGACCTCAAGAGAAGAGAATTATTCTCTGTGGTAGCAGACGGAATTTAAAGGGGGAGCCATGATCCATAAGATTCCTAAAATCCTTTAAAAAGCTTCTCAAGCTATTTACATCTGTCCCAGCAACTCAAAGATATTTCAAATAAGCCCAATGTATAGTTACAACAATGTTTTGGGATCCCATGTTTTGCTAAAAAAAGGCTCATGAAGTAGAATCAAGCAGCAGAACCTCAACTAAGCTTGTCTGCAAGCTTTGGCCTGTTAAGCAAGCATTGTAAGTTATTTATTTGAATCACTTGCATGCTTATAGGAACTTGAACCATTTCCTAAATTTTATATTTGTTATTATATTTATGTAAATAGTTTCTTTCTTCAGGAATTAGTTGCTAGGTTGTTGCCATTTTTAAGGGTTGTTATTAATCTTGTGGAAGGAAGTTGCTAGATTCTAGGGATAGTATTTTTCCTATTTTTATGGTATAACTCAGAATTTGAAGCTTTAAAGATTATTCTCTTTTTATTTAATAATTAGTGACTCAATAAGATTATTGTAGCCAAGAAAGGTTGAACACATTTATATTTTTTATTCTTCCCAACATTTCAATGTTCGTTGTCTATCTCTTTTGTTTTGGCCAGCTATTGTAGCAGTCAATCTCTAGGATTTCAAAAATATTTGTCTCCATCTCGTATGGCTGTAGGCCCCATAGTGATCAGCCACTGAGACTTTCTAACCTCCACAACCAGTAGAATTGCCCAATCTCTAGGCAACAAGTCCCCAGCCGCAATAATCTCTATCCAAAATTTGTAAATTTAGTAGAATTTAGTAGAAATAGTGAATATCGCTCACTATTCTGAGGAGAAATCAGGGAACAAACAAAAGGGTAAGGAGGGAGCAAACAAGAGAAAGAGAATTCTATGAGAAGGAAGATGATGAATTTTTCTAAATAAAATTCTAATTTCATATTGGTGAACACTCTTTCAGATTTATTCAATAATCTAGTTTGAGGCCTTAAAGATTTTGTTATCCCTACATAGCTGTGTGAAACCCTAAATCTATTTCCTTAAGCAATCTTTTCCAAACCATAATAGAAAACTTGGCATGATACCCCAAAAATCATGGGGCTTCTTTTGTGGTCTAATTTGCTTTGGGTAGGTGATTTGTGAATCCTAAATCCCTCATCACCAATAAATGGTAAGCGAGTGTTACTCCCATACACAACTTCAACACTCATGGACACAAGATAACTTCGACGAATATCGATGCCAATCCTTTCTAATGGGTTTAGGATTAATTGAAATCTATGAGCCAACCAATTAGTCAAGTTTTGATCGAATTAAACTTGAGTTGAACCTTTCTTTGATTTTATCAAACTAGTGGGTTTTAATTAAGAAGAATTAGAATTGATACGTCGTCAAAAAATTATTTTAAACGGGCGCGAATCTCAATGCAAAATCAAGTTGGAAACTTCCAAAATTAATTCGGAGACCATCCGAACTCCGATTTCAGCAAACTTACAGTCGAACTGAGCGTCTCGGAAATACGAACCCAACGACACCAAATTTGACTCAATCCGAGCCCAAATGGGTCCAAATCAAGGACCCAAAGCGCTGTTGGAAGGTTCAAACCACAAATTGGATTATCAAACGATTTCCAAACATAACAAGCTTATACTCGAATCGAGCGGCTCGACGAGACGAATCCAACGAGCCCAAGATCGCCATATTCTGACATCATTAAGGTCTTCAAATGCCTAAAAAACGATGCATGATCAAGGGATTCAACATCGGCCGTTCATCCGACCACTCCCCATTTACCCTTAATCTCTCACCTATTTATGGGCCATGCCACTCCAAAAATCTAGAAATAGAGCTCCATCTCCTCTTGAAAAGGGGTGTCACCCCGGAAGCCTAAGGAAAAAAGAGAGAGATCGGAGATCGCTCTTGCTTCCTTGCCTCCTCGACCACCACCGGACTTCCGACGGACCACCACCTGAGGCCCTCACCTCCGCCGGACCACCGCCTGACGCCGTTGCTCTGTTGGACCACCACCTGAGGCTCTTACCTTTGCCGGACCACCACCTGAGGCCCGGAGTACTGCCGGACCACCACTTGAGGCCCTCACCTCCGCCGAATCATCTCCTGACGCCGTTGCTCCATCAGACCACCACCTGAGGCCCCGACTTCTTCCGGACCACCACTTGAAGCCCTCACATCCGCCGGACCACCGCCTGACATCGTTGCTCTGTCGGACCACCACTTGAGCCCAGACTTCTGCCGAACCTCCACTTAAGGCCCGGACTCCACCGGACCACCAACTTACACCCAAATTTCTACCGAAGAATTGCCCTGCCGACTACGGTCCTCTCGACCTCCGTCGCCTATTACGGTCTCTCCGAGCTCCATCACAGGACAACGATCTTTCAGACCCTAGTCTCCTGCCAACAACGGTCTTTCAGACCTTTGTCTTTTGCCGACTACGGTCCTTCCGACCTCCGTCGCCTACTACGGTCACTCTGACCTCCATCACAGGACAACGGTCTTTCAGACCCCAGTCTCCTACCAACTACGGTCCTTTAGACCTTGGTCGCCTACTATGGTCCATCTGAACTCTATCAACAGACAACTGTCTTTCCGACCACGATCTCTTGCCGACTACGGTCATTCTCACCTCCGTCGCCTACTATGGTCATTCTGACCTCCATCATCATACAACGATCTTTCAGACCCCGGTCTCCTACCGACTACGGTCCTCCCGACCTCCGTCGCCTACCATGGTCACTTCGACCTCCATCACCAAACAACAGTCTTTCAGACCCCGGTCTCATACCAACAATAGTCTTTCAGACTCCTATCTCCTACCGACTACGATCCTTCAGACCTTCGTCGCCTAATACGGTTCTTCCGACCACCATCACTAAACAATGGTCTTTCTGACCTCGGTCTTTTGCCGACTATGACCCTTCCAACCAAACAAACATGTATATATAACTCCCATAATGTAATGCGTTCTATATGACGTACATTTGTAACATCAAGCTAAGGCCTTCTCTTTAAGAAGGGCCTCATTTGTAATCGACTGCAAATACTAGTGGATTCATTCAAACTGGGCCAGGCCCCATGGTTTTTCCCCCTTTTTCAGGGGTTTCCACATAAAAACTCTGGTGTCTCTTATGAACGCTACTCCCTCTCTCTTATCTGATTGTGTGCTGGATCTGCTTATTTGATTACAATCATGTTAAGCCCCTTATATTTGTTCATTTAAGCTTAAAGCATGTCCTCATTTGTTCAACATTTAGTTCCTCTTGATCAATTTTGAGTTCAAGCTGTAGAACCAAATTCAAGTTCTAAGTCCAGGTACGATCTCACGTTACCTGAAATTTTGGCAGCCTCCCGGCGTCTCCCATGTTTAGGGAAAACTACGGAAAACTGAGCCTCTTGCCACGTTAGAGAAAAGCGTGTACAGTAGGTGTCCTTGGACACCGCGGCCGTGAAATCTTTAATCCCACCATGCTAGAGAAAGGCGTGTATGGGTCTTCAGTACAGTTGTTTCCCCGCAGGTACAGAGCCTCGTACTGGTACTTAAAATTGTCCCCACCACCCTACGAAAAGCGTGTATAGGGTCTACCCACCTCGCCAAAGGTGTCGCACCGGATTCCCTTTCCACCACGCTAGAGAAAATCATGTATGGGCGGTTTGTCGGCTCAACACGAACGTCGAATGCAGGATTTTGGCTTTAGAAAGTTATACCTTGGCAACTGGTGAGGTGGCGGGCACGAAATCGATACAACACATTTTTTTGTCTCTTTCTCTTTTTCCTTTTTTTATCTTTCTTTTTTTTTTCCTTCTTTTTTCTGACAATAATAATAATAATAATAATAATAATATCATAATAATTATAATTAACAAGAACTATAATTATTAATAATTATGATAACATAATTATTATAATTGATAGTTCTTATAATTATAATATCTTAATTATTATAATTATTAATAATTATAATAACATAATTATTATAAGTAATAATAATTATAATAACTAAATACAATTAACAATAATTAGGTGTAGGGATTACCTTGGGTAAGAGATATAGAAGGAGTTAGGTCAATTGAGGGGATTGAAAGAAGGATCTACTTCAACTACATGTGGAATCGGGTTGGGAGATGGAGGGGGACTGCAGCAAGAGCAAGAGGAGTTCAGTCGGCTGCTGTGGACCACACGACAGGAAGAGAGGGAGGTAGGTCGGAAGCAGATGAGTTCGGGAAAGGGCGCTAGCCTGGGCTTGGGTCGGTGAAGAGGTAGGGATCTCTCTCTCTCTCTCTCTGGACCGAATGGGTTGAGGTCGAAAGAGGCGTCGGTTGGGCTTGAGCGGGTGAGGTCGGCAATGGGTTGGATGAGGAGAAAGGAAATCAGATGGAAGAAGAAGGATGGGGGTAAGTTCGTGGATTTTCGGTAGAGATAGAGGGATCGGTTGCGACTGGCTTGCAAACTGGAGAAGAAGTTCAACGGCTTAGTGAGGTTCAGTTGCTGCTTGTAGGGTCGGGTTCGGCCAGTAGATCAGATGGAGAAGTGAAGTTGCGGGAGAAGAAGCGAAGTAGTAGTAGAGCCGAAGGTCCTCGTCTCTTCTCCTTTTAATGACTCCAAAGAGTTGGAAATGATATGCACAAGGGATGGGCGTCTCTGAAATGGCGTTGTCTTGCACAATAAATCATTACTGAAGCAAGTTGCGAACGCGATTCAAGCCGGATATCTGGCAGGGATCGGGATGGGCATTACATAGGTAATCATTTTAAGGCTTTTTTTGTTGTTGTTTGCATACTACAATAGAGGTCAACATACTAGAAGTGAAGGGTTGCTCCTAATTGACAGGAATCACTTAGTTTGACAGATGAAAATAGGCCAAATTGTTATGATCTCCTGTTATGATACTTAACCCTTTTATTCATGAGACCCAAAAAATTTGTAGTAGTCATCAAGTGATTAATGGATCATGATGAATTATCAATGTTAGGCAAATGAAGATGCTACATGTATGTTAGAAGTAGGCTGTGCCATATATGCTGCATGTATGTAACGATATACTGCCATCTGTTGGTCCAATTCTTCCATACTGAATTGGTCACCATTGAATTGAATTGTTGATTCAAGCAGCTTATTTAGCCTACTAACTATAGAAAGGAAAAAGTTAAAAGCTTAGAATTAACTCGACTAAGCAACCGGTAAAAGTTGGTAAAAGTGTGAATTAAAGTGGTAGAAATTAAGACTTTAAACACTAAATGTTGAGGTATAGTCAAGAAGAGTTACAGATTTGTGTCCAAAATTTGTATGTTTTGCGCAAGTGGTGACTTGTGAATGCTTAGATCTTTTTTCATCATAATCATTGGCGTTTTCAATTTTTTTATTTTTTATTTTTATTTTGGCTTTTGCCTTTATGAATCCCTTTTGACTCATTCTTGTTCACTGCTACAAAAAATATCGATACAAAAAATATTGAATAAAAAAACAAAAATTATATGTTCATCGATACTTTGCTAATGTTGCCATTTAGACAGCACAGTTTGAATATTATTGAACAGTCTCAGGCATATTGACATCTTTCTATATGCCCAATTCTTTGATTTCTGGACATTTTGCTTTAGTTACAGTTTTGTTTATGTTTCTACATTGAATTGAGTTCAATTTGACGTTTAGTTCACTAGAATTCTGTCGGTTCAATTGAATACGGTGTTCAATAAAAATGAATTATTTTACAATGTAAATTATGCTTTGCACATTTAATACTTTTATGCGGTACTCTTTAATATATTGAATGAAATCATTTAGTATGCTAGAGGCATGGTGACCAGTGGCTGGCTGCTGGCTGCAGGCTGCAGGCAGTGGTCAGATTGTTTTTATTTAAAAAAAAAATTAAACATCGAAAAACACCTAAAATTTGTTTTGAGATTTTTCGAAAATAGTTTGATTTGTTTTAAAAACAAAAATAAAAACAACAAAAAACACAAATCAAACATACTTTTTAAAAATAGAAATAAAAAAGTGATCTCAAATAGCTTCTTAGCTTTCTGCATATTATGCCTTTTGACTTCCTAAAATTTGATGGTTGTAAAATTTTCATTCTCTCAATTTCTGAGTTTCAATATATTTCTCTTCCATATTCAAAAGGTTTGCTCTGATGCTTTATTAATTTACATAACTCAGATGCAGTCACTGAGAAGGGAGCTGAGTTCTGGGCTACTTCCTCTAGATGAAACATTTGTTGCTATGGTTCGTTTATTTGGCTCTCAAGGTCTTGCAACCAGGGGCTTAGAGTTGCTTTTAGCTATGGAAAAGTTAAATTTTGATATTCGCAATGCTTGGCTAGTTCTAGTTGGTATGTGGCTTTATATCAGTCAATTTCGAACCTTTAATTTGCTTCAAGGTAATTGAAACATTCTTTAAAAGCAGAGGAGTTGGTCAAGAACCTTTATTTGGATGATGCAAATGCTGTATTTTTGAAGGGAGCAAATGGAGGATTAAGAGCTACTGATGAACTCTATGATTTATTAATTAAAGTAAACTGCAAGGCTGGGGACCATTCAAATGCTTTGACCATTGCGTATGAGATGGAGGCTGCTGGAAGAATGGCAACCACCTTCCATTTTAATTGTCTTCTTAGTGTACAAGTAAGATCAAGGTTGCGATAAGTTTGTTTGATAAATTTTCACTAAGAATATCTTTAGTGAGCCAAATTAAATGCCGACTTCATTGCAATACAAAGTGAGACGTATCTTTTTGATCTGTTGGTGTATTTTAATATTTTAAGCTTGGGTTGTTTTGAGCTGTATAAAGTTACATCGTTTTTTTATAATTAAATCATTTTAGATACAGTGTACTTCCGTAGAAGAGTTTTGAATACACCAAGTTTGGCCTTGACCTTACCTTTTCCTTAGGTTTCCTAAATCCCCTTGGACAACACAACCCATGACTATTGATTAGGATTCATGTAGAAGTAGATTGATGGAACCATAAAATGATGAATAATTGTCTTCATCCTTCCACCATTCGTTCTTAAGCTAATAGCAACATTCTTTCTCTCCTTCATTCAAATTGCTATTGGTCATTCCATGTATGAGATTATCACAACAAATCATCACAAAGCATATAAACAAAACTAGATCAAAAGTTCTCTCTTGCGATTGAGAGAGATAATTAACCATTGACCCCTTGGCAAATCTCGAATGAAGCAAAGAAAACCTTTTATGTTGATAAAATTTTTGGTTAGTACTTAATCTACTATCAAATCTAGCTTCTAAATAAATGATCTTGATTAACAACTGGTATATATAGAGAATATTTAGAGACCTTAGATTTTTTGGCAATCGTGTTGGAGAATATTTCTCTTTCTATCTCTGGGTAATTATCTTAGCTCTAGTGGACTTGAATTTCTGTTAAAGCTATTTCCATAATATAATTTGTTTTAGGGTTTTTTTGAAATTTAAAAATTACATTAGATGTTTGTGCTATAAATATGAAAAGTTTGTAAAGTTGATTTTATAATATTCATAGTGGTCTTATAGTCTTTTTTGATAGGTCAAAGGAATAGGCTGCTTGGCTTTTTTTATTTTATTGATGATTGATTAAAGTTGCTGGCTCCTAAGATAGCACAACGATTAGCTAGGAGGGTGGCAATGGTTTCATGCATTTCGGGTGGGACATACATGACACAAACTTTTTAATTCAACTCATTCTATTTAACATTAATTATTTATTTTTTTATTTAAGTTTCAGGTTCACTTTACAAATGGAAAAAGTTGATGTTGACCTCCGACAGTTAAAAAAAATGCTCAAAAGATTTTTACCTCAACCAATCTGTCATCGCTCATACTGAATCCCCGCTTAAGTCGCATCCCCCTCCTGCTACAGTAATGATTCATTGTGCATTCGGCGCTGTTCCGGACAGAGCACGCGTGAAATCCATCTTCTGCTCTCGTTGCATGCTTTCAACGATAAAATGGGAGAGGGATGGAACTCTTCGTGCTCCTTCCACATACACACACTCCTCCTTCGCTTCTTTCCCGCATACCCTAGCGAACTCTAATTGGCACAAGTATCTAAGGCCAAACTCATCCAAGCCTTTCCAACTTCTAATTCAATCGTAGCTTCCAACCTAGACTCCCTTAGCTCGATCGAAGCCGACTAGCCCCGCAAACCTTCCGATTCCTCTTGCCTTCTCCCGTCCATTCCACCTGCAGCCGTACTCCACTTCAACTTACTCCTACCCGAAGACCTCTTGCTTCAAGCCTTAGCCCAATTCAACCTTTACCGAATCTCCTTCCCCATCCCGTCGCCCTCTCAAACCGCAAATTGTCGACTCCCATCACCGCTCTGTCCGTCCCCGCTTGCCTAACCTTTTGAGCCCTTCGGTCCGCACAGAGAGAGAGAGAGAGAGAGAGAGAGAGAGAGAGAGAGATTTCCCCTACCTAGCCGCCTCTTCCTCCTTAGCCGATGCCTCTACTTGCTCTAGCCCGATCTCTCTTGCATGCCCTAATCCATTTCGACCTCATAGAGCTTAACTCCCTGTATGCATTTGATCCCTGTTCAAAGCCGAGTAGAGTCCGATTTCTTTGTTTCCTTCACCCTACCCGACTCCTCCAACATCAAATCCCTGCGCCTATTGTCTCCAACCCAGTGCCGAGCTCTCTCTAACCTCTTACCCGAACATTAAGTATAGATTTCATCTTATTTTTATTTTTGTTTCTTTTAAATTTTTAGTTATTAATTGTTATTAATTTCTGTTGTTATCAATTACTGTTTTTATTATATTTAGTATATTTAGTACATTCAGTATTTTATTTATTATTTTTATTAAATTTTATATATTGCTTACTATTATAACAGTTATTATTATTATTATTATGTTATTATTATCTTTTTTGTTATTACTATTAGTATTAATTGATATTAATATTAATACTAGAATTAATATTATAATAATATAATAATAAAATTAGTATTAATATTATTGTTATTAATATTATATATATGCATATATATTTATATGTATGTATGTGTGTAAAAAAAAGGGAGAGAAAGGAAAGTAAAAAAAAAAAAGATGATAAAAAAAGAAAGAAAGAAAAGTTCATAAAAAAAAAAGAAGGGGCGAGGGGATCCTTTTTGCTCATTTTCCTAGATTTTGTTCTCGTCGTTCGCGGCGGACTGGTAAACCCCCTTATACGCTCTTTTTGAAAGTTCGTTAGGGATGTTAAGCCTCTTATGAATTAGTCCCAAGGCTAATTAAGAGAGCTGAATTGATATTTTAAAACAAACACAATCTTAAAACCAAAACCAAGATTCACCACAGAGAAAACACATTGCGGAAATTAAGTGCGGAAATAATAAAGGAAAGAACACACCAGATTTATAGTGGTTCGGTCAAACCTTGACATACGTTCACTCCTTGGAAGCACCCTCCGAGTATTGCACTAAACTAAGTGTCTCTCCTTTAGCCCCGACAGCTAGGCGGAGAAGCCCTTACAAAATCACTTCCATCTTCCCCAGTGCGGCGGAATCGCTGGGTCCTTTGACACCAAAGAGATCTTCTTCTTTTGTTAACTTTCCTCAAGACAAGCCTTGAATCCGACTGTATTAAGGTGCAAGCCTACTGGAGCAACTGTGTGGAATCCCCCTCCACACTCCCTTGAGTCCCCCCTCACAGGATCTTCTCCCTCTCTCAAACTTCACCTATTCCTCACTCCCTTTCAAGCTCTTTTTTCAAGTTTTCCTCAAAAGAACGAAGCTACAATGACTGCCAAAGACACTTACAAAAGTGCCTTATCAAAAGTTTAAATAGAAGATCTCAAAATGAGCTCATTAATGCAACTTGCCGACTTTATCGTCTAGGCCGATACAATATCGTCCTGACCGATTAGTTCAAATTCGAGGATAATCTTCCTGAACATCGCCCGGAATAGAGGTTGGCCGATGTCAATCGTCCAGGACATCATCATGGCCGATCCTGCGATCGGCCTGGCCGATGTGATCGTATCAATCAGCCTGAATTGCTTTCCATAATTACCAGATTAATTTAGGCATAATTGTGCTTCATCGTCCAGGCCGATATTGAGATCATCCTGGCCGATGTACTAAAATAAAGAATACCTAAATTGATCATGACGGCTGATTCTTTTTGATTTGAGCATATTGTCCTGGCCGATATAAGGATCGTCCAGGCCGATTGGCTTAATGATGACTTCCTTAATGAGGATGATGCCCTAATTAGGATTTTTGTTTCTGAATCGATCGTCCAGGCCGATATAAATATCGTCCCGGACGATTTACAAAAAACAGTAAACTCTAGGGAACAGTCAGAAATTCTTCCAAGGTGTGTATGAGCAAGTTTATAAAGCATCATGAGCCACACCAAATACAATAGACTCAAGAAAGGAAAAGTGGTACAAACTGACTCAGACCTAGTCTACCCAATCTTGAGCTGATTCTAAATTGCAATCTGATCTTGTGGACCTGAAATGTCAGTAGATAAGACAGTCGTAGAGAAATAAGAGTGTTTGCTATCATCAAAATCATAATCCATGAAAACAGATCCGTAATAATCTCCCCCTTTTTGATGATGACAAACATTGCAGGTTGAATTTGCAAAAAGAAAACATTTTCTCCTAATCTCCCCCTTAATAAAATAAAACTTTAAAAAGTAGGTGAAATTAAATTTTTGAGTTTTTAATTTTTTGAAAGGAAAAAAGATACAAATACAACAGTATATTCTCCCCCTTTGACATTATCAAAAAGAGAAGGGGCACAAACAATCAGAACAATAAAAACCAAAACGGTCCATGATCTAGTGAACAAATCAAATATTCTTAAAATGAGAAAGTTACCGCTTGATTTTATTTAAAAACTTAGTAAGGAATTGATCGACAACGCATAATTCAGAAAAGGTTAGAAATTCAGAAATTGTTAATCCAAGTTCAAATTCTTTTAAAGGCTCAAAAACTTTTTAATCTAATATCTAAATCAAAGAATAAATTAGAAGAAGAAATACTAATTTTTCAAAACTCCTTTTATAAAACATATCTAATAGAAGATTAATGCAAAAATTGGTGAATCAAGAATCATGATTTTCAAGATCAAGTATAGAAAATATCTAGAGTTTTCTTAAGCTTTAAGTAATACAGAAAAAGTAAGTATACTCTTTGTCGGCTTATTTTATGCCTCTTGTCAGTTTTTGAGGCACTTTGCGCATCTTTTACTTTTTTATACACTTTGTGTATCTTTCTCAATTTGGTGTCATTGTGCATCTTTTGATTTGATATCATTGACCATTTTTTTTATTTGCATCATTGGTCATTTTTTTTAATTAAATATGCTATCTTTTTGAGATTTTTTAAAAACAAAAGTAAACCCATTCTAAATGAGAAAACAAATTATATGATTAAGAAAATTATGAGGTAGATTCAACAACTTGCATAAGATTTCTATGCGATAAACAAAATGTAGGGAGATGAAAAAGATCAGTTTCGAAATCTAATTTATAATATGATGAAGATTTTGAATCAAAAATAAAATTATCTTTTTAAGAAAAGAGATAGAGAGACAAAATCATGAGTTTCCTTCCTTTGACTGTTTTTAGAGAAGTTAACCACAACTTTTATAAGAATTCAAGAAAAAA